CTATAAGAATCTTAGAAAATGCAGGAGACACCCTTATGGAAATTGGAACTGGCAACCAATACCTGATCAGAACCCTAAGTGCCCATATCATAAGAAATAAGGTAGACAAGTGGAACCTCATTAAACTGACAAGCTTCTACAAAGCAGAAGAAACTATCAAGAGAGCAGGAGACAGCCCACAGCATGTGAAAAAATATTTTCCAACTGCATATCTGACAAAGGCCTAACATCTAGGATCAACAAGGAACTTAAACACACCAAAAGGAAAAAAAAAAAAAAAAACCCATTCAAAAGTGGGCAAAAGACATGAATAGACACTTCCCAAAAGAAGATATACAGGCAGCCAACAGACACATGAAAAAGTGCTCAGTCTCACTAACCATCAGAGAAATGCAAATCAAAACCACACTGACCCCAGTAAGAATGGCCACCATTAATAAAACAAACAACAACAGATGCTGGCGAGGAGGTGGAGAAAAAGGAATGAGTCTACACTGCTGGTGGGAAAGCAAACTAGTTCAACCTCTTTGGAAGACAGTGCTTCTAGTTATGAAACACTGAACTAGAAACATTGAAAGAACTAGAAATTGACCTTCCCTATGATCCAGCAATTCCCCTATTGGGAATATGCCCGGAGGAACTCAAATCATTCTACAAAAAAGATACCTACACACACATATTTGTTGCAGCTCTATTCACAATAGCAAAAACATGGAACCAACCATACTGCCCATCAAAGATGGACTGGATTTTTAAAATGTGGTACATATACACAATGGAATATTATGCAGCCATAAAAAAGGACAAACATATGGACTTTGCAGCAACTTGGCTGGATTTAGAGTCTCTTATACTCAGTGATCTATCACAGAAACAAAGAACAGAGTACCATATGTTCTCACTTATAAGTGGACCTTGAACAATTATCATAATACTATAAGAAAGGGATTAGCAGTAGTGGGAAACTGTGAGGGGAGGAGGGGTGGGATTGGCAGTTGAAGAAAACAACTAGGGGAGGGAGGCGAGAGGTATACCTCATCAACAAGGGTACCTGTATAATCACATTTGTATACCTAACCCTGAATTGTACCCCACATCTTTAAAATAAAAAAAGTAAAAACACTGAAATACACAAACACAAAAACAAACAAAATCTCGTTTGCCTTTTTTTATTCTCCTATTTCATTAACCCTGTCCATTTCTCACACATGTAACCTACAGAGCCAGTACAGAGGCTCTCTCAGATCTAAACATACCAGGATTTGGTTAAGTTTCTGAATGATCTCATTTGCAATATACTTGAGTGACAAGACTTGTCTTTACTTGTCATGAGAGAAGTGCCCGTGCAGGTTTTATTTCTGATGGTGCATGCCCTACAATGACAGATTTCCATATAACTGAAGCAAAACAGTAGAAGACAGGCTCATTCCTGTTATTCTCCTCTGCCCGCAAAATCTAGATTAGAGGGAATGAGTTATGATGATATGTTTATAGTTCATACATAAGGTATCATTTGGAAGGAAACAGGATAAAGGAAAACATAAGGGGCATTTCAAGCAATTGAATTCCTAAATGGAAAACACACTTTAGACATTTTCATTTCCATTGTAGCCAAGGTTGGCATATGTGATGATTTTTCACTTTCCAAGAAGATGAGTAATTGGAACTAAAGTCAGACCATGACGCCTACACCAACTCTAGGAGTAATTTCCAAAGAGATAGATGAGTTTTAGATACGAGACTTCTGGTGACTTTAACAAGCAATAATAACTCTCACAGACACTTTCTAAGGGGGCCAGAAATTTGAAATGGATATTCTCTAAAAGAACTGACCAGGCCTAGTCAAAGGACATCATAACAATAACAGGCAAATGAGACTATTTCAACATCAAAGGAGTAATTCAGAAGTATATTCACTGCACCTGGTAGCAGACATACCAAATTTAAAAAAAAAACACACCCAGAAAGATTGTTTTCCACTACCTTTGCAACTGTACTTGTAGTATAGTATAATCGTTACAAAATTTAATATTTGGATATCTCCTTTCAAATGCAAAGATGAAAACTAAATTGTTCAAGTTAAATATTTCAAGAATATATTGGAGGCCAAGTTCTCTGAAAATGTCTTTCATTGAGGGCCACTAGTTAATTGTTTGAGACTTTGGCCAAATCATCCACAGGTACTGCTGGTTTTTATAATATTTCTTGAGCAGCTCTACAGCACTGCACATTTCTAAACATAGAGACTTCCAGACAAAATTCCCATGGACGAATACTAACCACCAATCTGTGATAAAAATCTCTTCTTTTGCCTCTTCCATTGCATTTGCTACATCTTCAAAATATCCTTTGGCATTAACATACCTGAAAGACAATTTTTTTGCCCAATTTTATCTATTTACCAAAAAGGAAACACTCTATGATAAAGCAAAACATAGAAGCTACTGCTTAGAGTCCCTATATAACCACCATTTTCTTTGCGTAATTGGAAAATGAAAATTTAAAAATGCCAACTTTCATCTGCTACCTAGAAGGTAAGTACACAGACATAAACAGCCTGCTTCTACTCTACTTGGAAACAGCAAATTCACTGAGCCCCATCATCATAGGGGGTCAGATGAATTCTCCTATCCTGTTGAACTTATAAAGTTTTTCCCTGAAACTCAAAACAGACCAGTTTCCGATCCATGGGTAGAACAATATGCTAAGCATGATTTTTTAAAAAAACAAAAAAACACATATCTAGCAAGTAAATGCTTTTTCCTAAATCATGACTGATGACCCAAATAAACATTCCCTTTGCATCATTAAGAAAATATATGAAGTTAGCTTTAAAAATCAAACTTCAAAATCTAAAGTGATCTAAGTTCTCTGTGAAAAACCTTAAAAACAAAAACTGGAAAATGATTCTCTGATCAGGTATTCCCATAACTGCCTCAAAAAGATGGGCCCTTGTTAAGTGTAGTAACATAACATCTTTTGCAGTTTTGAAAATTGATCCCAGGTTGGACCACTGTAATAATAGACTACCTTGACAGTCTAAGGGTGAAAATATCTTACCACTTTGCTAAAGTGTTCTCTTGGATAGCAGCATAGGACCCAAATCGATGATCTTTGAGATAGTTGTTGCCATGTTTCTGGATGAATTCTTCTATAGCTCCTGCCCACCACCGCGCATGTCTATAGCTGTTGCATTTTAAAATAAGTGTCCTTCAGAGAAAAGAAAAACACGAAAAAGAATGTTTACTCTGTGCTCTCTCTCTTAAAACAAACTTAAGAATGAAACATGCCCTGATTAGCAAATATAAACTGAAACATTTAGTCTGAGACCATCACAAAAGCAGGCTTCTAAAATGTTTTGTTAGGGTTTCAGAAAATAGCCAATAGAACAAAAATAAATGTTGCAGTGACTTATTCACTTGTCCACTCATGCAAATGTGCATTAAGTTACTTACTACAAGCCGAGAGCTGTGCTAGGCCATGGGGAGCATGACGGAAGAGACGCGAGATGAGTCTTCCTCCTAAGTGTTTGTTAGAGAGCTGCTGGCTGTTCTACAGGACACTTTCCTTCGTGATGCCTAGTGTCCATGCCCTCAGATTCTGGAAAGACCATCCTAACTATGCTTTAGGAAAGTGGTCTCTTTTCCTCTTTGAGTTCACCAAAGCTAAGCAAAACGACACATTCCATTCCCCTGTTACGGGTACGTAAGCCAACTTCACCCCACGAGTGAGAGCAAATTTGAGGATTTGTTTGGGAATGCCAGGGAGAGACTCTCTCCCTTCCTCTGCTACATGTGGGAGGTGGCCATCTTGCTACCGGGGGAAGAATCTGAGGATGGAGCAGATCCAAGAAGACACAGCAATAATACTCTAAGAAAGGAACTGGCAGTAGTGGGAAACTGCCAAGGGAGAGGGGATGGCATTGGCAGTTGAGGGAAACTGGCAGGAGAGGGAAGGGCACACCTCCTCAACAAGGGTACCTGCATAATCAACATTTGTATACCTAACCTTGAATTGTACTCCACATCTTTAGAAGAAGAAAAAAAGAAGACACAGCTGAGAGAGGCAGACAAAAATGTCTCAGTGACAAAGCTTGTGCCTCTGAATCAGCCATTCTCAATGTGGTGGATTGACTCTCTTTGGTATAAGCTATTTTGCACTGGATTTTTCTGTCATGAATGATTAAACAATTTTAGACTATTACAGATGTATAAATGCTGGAAAAAATTCAGAGTAGATTACAGAAAGTTTTTTTTGATGCCACGTTCCGGAATTGGTGCCTACTACCAATAGGTAGAAATAAGTTATTCAAACTGAAAAGTTCAAAGGAAAACAAACAAACATACAAACAAAAACCCCACGATGTGGAAGCCAGCTGTATCTCTGTCATGCAGGCAAAAATCTAACACCATACCAATATAAGATGAGGATTGTGAGTGGAGGATCACCTTTTTTGAGGAAATGCAATGATCCCGATAAGGAGAAGGTAGAGGGCTGGTCCACAGATTCTAAAATAATCATTTATAAAGATTAGGGATGTCCAAACTGCTTCCCTCAAGATGTCAGAGATGGATGCTGGCCCTTGTCTGAAATCCCTGGAGCCATCAGAGTGGCCGATGCTGCTGACAGTATGGGAGGGGTGAGACATGGTGGAACTGATAGGAGAGAAGCATCTTTCATCAGGTATGGTGAAGGAGATGGTTTCTGGGGAAAGGGGGAAGAAGAACGGAAAGTGTAAGGGCTTGAGCCATCACGAAAGCACTACTCCAATAGAGGTAAGATGCCTCTGGAAACTAGTCGAGAAAAGAAGACTTTGTGGAAGAGATACGTGACAAGCGTGACAAGCGGAGGCCTTATCACAGAACGTGAGTCAGAGTCAAGGGGGAACAAAAGGGCTATTCCAGGCATGGAGACACAAAGACAACTGGGAAGAGATAAGAACAAAATGCTGCCTCCACAGCACCTGAAAGGCTATGTTAGGGTAGGGCTGAAAACCATGAGAGAGATAAATACCCTTAAATTATGACGAGGAATTTGGACCTATTTGATCAAATGATGGGGCACGTGTAGACCAGGAAGGAAGTTGATGAAACCTGGATTTGGATCGACTCATTTGGCAAGGATGCCCAAGTAAATAAGGGTAGGAAAGGCAGATATGGCAGCCAATACAGGAACTCCACAGCGACCAATGAGAAGTATGGCCTGACTTCCAGGATTGCTGTAATACTAGAATGCAGGAGTGCCCTTGTATTTCCACTAGCAATCCCGAAAGTTCTATGCTCAGGGACTACCAGGAAGCTCAGCATCTCTCTAACAAACCCTACCACCACCACCACACACACACCTCTATGTTGGTGACTGTGCAAAAAGAAATGTATATATTCATATACATGAGGGTTAACCATAAAGAGACAGACGTATATATGTATCAAGACACACATACATAGTTTAACTACAATCTTCCAGGCAGAAACATATATATCAACACACTCACATACTAATAAAATCTATAATAAATGTGCATAAGTATCCCTTCAAGATATTTATGTACAAACAGAATTTTTATAAATCATATCACTTTTTAGGTGTTTTGTTAATTAAAGAATGTTGATTTATAAAGTAACATTTGATTTTACTTTTTCAGTGTGAACTATCACTCTAATTTATCTGTTTGGTAAACTGGAAAACTAAGTAATAAATTTTGCTAAAATAGACACACATCTACACATAGGATTGTCTATTCTGATTCTCTAGCACATAGGATATTCTGCTCTTAAAAAAGTAGTTTCATCACTTTTGATTGAGAATGAGTTCTAAATTACACTTTTCTAAAATTTAAATTATTTTACCTCCTTCATCATTTGAGGTTGAGAAAAAAATTTTGTTTGTAAGAGTTTTTTTAAAGAAATATTTCTTACATATTTGAAATTCCTACCTTGAAAGATTATCAATTCGGAGTCCATATTTTGTTTCTGTCTCCTTCTTTCCCACCTTAATTCTGAATTCTTTATCTACCAGTAAGACGAAGGCAATGGCACCGCTGTCTGGTTTCATGTACAGTAGAAAAGAGTCTTTCACTATTAACCATCTGTAGAAAGGTAATGAGTAGTTTGAAAGTTGTATTGAATAACTGAAACAAAAAGAACTAATTATTATGAGAAGTCTTAAGGAATCACTCTAGCAGACCATAGACACAATTACACTTTTTGCACAGGGGGATTTATGTTTTTAAAAAATTACTATGAAACATAAAAAAACCAAATCAAACCTTTTGTTATGGTTTTTGAAGCAGTAGTGGCACAAAGCAATTCAAAATAGTTCATGAGTTCTTTAAACACAAACGGCAAAACCCAGAAGAACGTCCCTGTATTGGCAAGTAGCATTCACAGGATGAACACGATGAGTCCCAGTTGCTGTAGAACGGACCGGGTTGATGTTTGCCAATATAAACTATCATGAAGGAGGCAAATGAGTCCACTGGCGATTAAAATCCTCCTTTAAAAAACCTAATAAGTGGCCGGGCTTGGTGGCTCAGCCTGTAATCTCATGCTTTGGGAGGCCGAGGTGAGTGTATTGCCTGAGCCTGCGGGTTCGAGATCCGCCTGGGCAACTTGGCGAGACCTCATCTCTACAATAAAATCAAAAAATTAGTGGGGCATGGTAGCGCATGCCTGTAATTCCAGCTACTTGGAAGGCTGAGGCGGAAGGATCACCGGAGCCCAGCAGGTCAAGGCTGCGGTGGCCGGGAACGGCCACTGCACTCCAGTCTGGGCGACAGAGTGAGACTCCAATTCAAAAAAAAAAAACCTAATAAGCATCCAGTACTCCACATATCCTGCTGCTCAATTCAAATTATTTGTGGCTTTAAGGACCTTTAATATGTGATGCTTAATGTGATATTAGCATCTCTCAAAAGCATTTTCTATTCAATTCAATATATAATCAAGAGCTTCATACGGCAATATACATGACAGGCTGAGAGTTGGAGTAGAGTTGGAAATAGCAGAGATCAATCAGACATGGAAGTATGTCCTCAATGGAGCTTTCAAGGCTAGTAAAAGGTACAAACAATGATAATTTTAGGCTGAATGGGAGAGGTCCTAGAAGAGAAAAGTAAAACATAGTGAGTACAAAGAAGAGGCAGTCTTTAGCTCCAAGAGGATGAGCCAGTGGCATTCTCCTGAAGACGTGTCATCTGAAGGAGGCCAGGAAGGATCCCAACAGAGTCGGAAGCTGAAGAAGACCATGGATCCACGGAGGGAAGAGTCAGCAAAGGAATTGAGGAGAGGAAATGCCGCACGTGTTGGGGAAACAGTTTGGCGTGGCCAGGGTCTCAGGGAGTACAGTAAGGAAGGAATGATAGGGAGAATGGGCAAGTCCACATTGACGGGGACTGAGAGCCAGGCTGAAAAGGCTGACTTTGTATCATGGAACCAGTGTTTCCTAAGCTTGCCTGGTGACCAGAGTATTTTGAGATGCTTCCAATAAACAGCAGATTCCCTAGGCCCCACCCAAGATCCTCTAAAAATGCCTGATAAGCTGTGTTTTTAACAAAAATAGCACAGTGCTATTGGTAATAGGGCAATAATGGCAATGACGCTGGAACTATGTTTAGAAAAAGAGAAAGAGGGACTTAGTGCGGCAGGTAGCAGCCTGCGGCAATAAAAACAGACCAGCTCTGCTCATACTTTAATGTGCACACATGTCACCTGAGGATCCTGCCAAAATGCAGACTTGGGCTGAGTGGAGTGGAACTGAGACTCTGCATTTCTAACAAGCTCATGGGTGACGGCCACGCAACAACCACATTTGGATTAGTAAAGATGGTGATGGTAGGCATGATACTGACAATGGGAAGAGATGGGATCCATTTAGAGTGAATGCAAATGGTCACTGTATCATGTTGCATACAACACCACGTAGTTACATTTACCTGTGATTGCATAGTGACCAAATGAATTAGTCAATAACTGGATAAAGTACGAGTAAGCATATTATCACATATCCAACAAATTACTCTAGGCACTTGCACATTATAAGACAATAAGGTTGAAACACCTGAATATTAATTAAATAATAGTATAAATCTAGTATGGCAGCTCAATATTTAAAATAAATTTATAATAAATCTTTACTGAAATTGCTAACCACATTATGTTTTAGTGGCTTCATAACTTGGGATTTAATGTAGACAAATCTATACTGATTTCCACATAGTTTCATTTCATTGATTTGTTTTTTAATGCCTAGGATATCTCCTTAGAGATAGAAGGTGAGGTAGATTTAGAATAACTTATAGAAAAGGACATACATGTGATATGGTTAATAACAGGAAAAACATTAAGGTCGCAGAAAGCAAGGACCTAATCACAAAGGCTAATACACAGATGGTACACCAGTGTGGGTCTAAGCTTCCTGGGTTTTCTTTAAAGAAACAAAGGGATTTCCTCCAAAATTCGAAGGGAATTTTCTCATTTGGACCTGACATAAGAAAACTGAACAATATAATAAATAATACTCCCAATAACAATTTCCAAAGAAAATATAGAAATCATGTTATAAAAATGCTTATAACACACCTCAATATAAATGCCAAGGCCGTGATCTGTGTTTTCTATTCCTGTGATGAATATCACTCGTATTTTGATAGGAATTACACTGAATCTGTAGACTGCTTTGGATGGTATGGTCATTTTAACAATATTAATTCTTCTGTCCATGAATACGTCATGTCTTTCCATTTGCTCATGTCCTGTTCAACTTATTCCATCACTGTTTTATAGTTGTTATTGTTGTTGTTCTTTTTTTTTTTTTTTTTTGGTGAGAAAGCAGGAGTTTATTAAGAAGACAAAAAAGTACCCAAGTGGGAGGAGACCTGAAAGAGGGTTGCCCTGGTGTTGTTCTTAACTGTCATTAGCAGTCAGGGTAAATCCACTCCTGGTCTTCATTTAATTATGCCAGTCATAAAACCTCCTGTTTTCTTCTCCTTCTCCCTTTTGTCAATAGATTCTTTTTTTCCTCTAACAGGAAGATACATGCCAAGAAAGGAACCTGTCAACCAGCCTTCTGGGAGTCAGCACCTGCTGCCCTGGGATCAAGTGCCCGCCCTCAAGTTGGCCTCCCTGGGCTCCAATTCTAGTTCTGCCACCTATCTGTCTATTGACCTTGGGCAACTGAGCCTGATGTCCAAGTGAGGATAAGAACACAGGGCACAGAACACGAGGACCTAACAGCAACACATTGTTGGCCCCTATAAATGTGAGCTATGATGGCTACTCTTGTCTAAACCACGTGAGATTAAGTCTGTTCTGACAAGACACCTCCTGCCTGTGCCACACTTGCTGTGGCATTAAAATGCAGAGGGCCCACTAGAACCAGCCCGTCCCTTCTCAGGTGCACCTCCCACTGCTCCCTCCCCCCACACTGATCTGACTGCTCTTCAGACTTGCCCAGCTTGTTCTTCTTTGGGGTGCTCCCTTTGCGCTGCCTAGAAACGGTTTCTTCCAGATCCTCCCATGGAAGATCCCTTCCTGTCAATGAAACCTCTGCTCGGATATCCTCTGTCAGGTGGCTGCCCAATCTAAAAACAGATGTCCTCAACCGTCCTCTTCCACCCCAGCTCGACTCCACCATGTTGTCCTGCCTCAGCTTCCTCAGGACACATCTGGAAATATTTACTAACTTGTTTACTGTCTGTCTCCCTCACTAGAGAGTAAGTGCCATGGGAACAGGCACTATGACTCTCAGGTCCACTGCTGTCTGCTGAATGCTTAGAGTAAAGTTCTCGCAGCCCAGAGCGAGTCTTTGGGCAAAGCCACCATCCGGCCTAAATAACGGTTGCACGAAAGGGTCCCAGAGAGTAAATGAAACCATTTAGACATTTCCACTGTCTAAAAATTTTAATTCTTGGTATAGCTCATAGTTCAGTAAAGAAAACGTGAAGTGCTAAATTTATTTATTGATATCTACACGTCTCTTTTTCTTAAGACATTATATGAGATGAGAAAATTAATATCGCACCCCCTCCAGATGCAGAGAAGCTGATCAATAAGTGTGCTGTTTAAGCAGATGTTTTACACTGTAGGAAGAAATGTTTCCTGTGTTTATCTTTTTTGTTTGTTTTAACTCATCTCTAAGATAAGGTCATTATGAGACTTGAATGTAAGTTTAATCACTCTGTCTTCTACTGTGAGAAACTTTCTAAACTAATTTTGTCAGCTGTACTTTATCATCAATATATGATTTCTGATATTTCAAATCCCACATGTATGACTCAGAAAATACTTATTAATATGGAACCAGTGCGTTAATCTTCACAGAAAAATTTATACAACTTAAAATGATGACACATTTTATCCAGGGAGGATCATATCTTTTTAGATTGTCCTGGTTGAGCATGATTTAATCTGAAAGTTACCAAAGGAAGGGGCATATTTCTTTTAGGCAACGAAGTCCTTCCCCTGTCTTTCCTGGCTGCTGCTTCTCATAGAGGTAAAACTCAGAAGTCAGCTTTCCAGGGAGGCTCTCTTTGACTCCTAGGGCTAAAGCCACCCTCTCCATCCCAAAATCTCCCACAGTTCCATTTTTTCCCCCTTCAAAGCTCTTACCACTGGCTAAATTTGTATAACTTATACAACTTGTCAACTTAGTGCCTGCATTTCTCCTCTCATAGAACTCCTTGAGAGCAGGGCCTTTTCCTTGTTCACGACTCTTTTCGTAGCAGCTAGAATACAACCTGTCATATATCAGTCACTCAGTAAGTGACTGGATGAACCAGACCAATTCTTCCAATTCTTCTATTCCTTGAGTAGATGCCCGAGGTTGGGATGTCCCGGAAGTAAACTCTGGGACAAAGATGTACACGTATCAAGTAGTTTATAAAGGAGCTTATGAGGGAGGTGATGCCAGGAAGCACCAGTAGAGAAGGATAGGAAGGAAGAGCAAGGAAGAGAGCCACAAAGAGTGTGTTTTCATGCCTATATTATGGGCCATCCAGCCCACCCAACTGCAAGGCAGCTGGGGAGCTCTAGAGAGCAAAAACATGCTCCAGAATCCTTCCAACTGAGGGAAAAGTGACTAGACTCCTGTGGCTCTGACTGACGGCTGCTTCAGGGACTGTTGGCCAACCCTTCCAGTCAGCACTGCACCCAGGCAGGAGGGTGCTGGCATCGAGAGTCTTTGGTCAAAGAACCACAGGTGCGTGAAGTTCAAAAGGTAACAGCTAATCTGGGCAAAGTTAATAACTGGGAGGCGTGGTCAGAAGAAATCTGCAGCGCCCTGGGCTGGGAAGATCCACCTCCAGGAGAGGCATCTGGGTCAAGAGTCAGCCCCTGGGCAAGCTGTCTTGAGTTCCATCCTCTCCTGCCTGTCATCTGGTCTGCGCATCCCCAGGCTTCTGCCCAATTTGAAAGAAGAAGCTACCCAGGTGAGAGCTCTGACTTGCCAGTGATACTAAATATCGAGTTTGTACCAGTTAGAGAAGTTTACTTGAAAACAAATACTTTTTCTAGTGTATTATTTTTCTTATTTTAGTAAATTTTTTTTGTTGTTACACAAAAATTTTCAATTTTCCTTAGTTTAATCTTCTGACCTTTTTCTTGCAATTTCTTCTATACTTTCTATACAAGCCCAAACAATAAAAACACAACTTAATGTTATTTTTGTGATAGTGTATCATAAATCCATGTACTTAAAGGAAAATACTAATATTAATTGTATATGTTTTGAATATACACATGGCTTAATTCCATCTTTGCACATAAACTCATTTATCATTTCCTTAGGGGACGTACAGATATCTATATCTTGTTTCTTATTAGTATTTTAATAGTTTCTCAAAATGCCAGTACACTATTATTGCAATACATAGCTATTGTCTACTATGTGCAAAACTTGGGGGACACAGATAAGAATCAGATAAGAATACATTTCCTCAACAAATCTTTAGTTGGGTAAGACATAAGATATAAAAAAAGTTTTCTGTCTATATCACACTTTCTATAATATACATTTTTCAGAAATATATATCTAAAGTTATCATCCCTGAAGTCTACCCAATTTTACTTTTTTAATAGTTTTTTTTAAGTATACAGTTCACTGGATTTTAGGATATTCACAAAATTATATAACCATCACCTTAATCTAATTCCAGAATATTATCATCACCCCCAAAAGAAACTCCATACTCATTAGCAGAATTAAATTAGTAAAAGAAACTTCCTGCTGGAAACCCTTTATGTACTTCTGTCTCTACTGATGTGCCTATTCTGGACATTTCATAGAAATAGAATCATACAATATGCGATTTTTCGTATCTGACTTTTTCACATATCATAATGTTTTCAGGGTTTATCTATGTTGCAGCATGTATCAGTGCTTTGTTTCCTTTTTTATTTAAAGTTTAAAACTTTATTCAGATGTCATTCACATATCATAGAATTTTCCTTTTAAAAGTATGCATTTCAATGCTTGTTAGCACATTCACAAAGTTGTGCAACCATCACTGTCACTTAATTTCAGAACACTTCCATCACCCCATAAAGAAACCCCACACCCACCAGTAGTCTTCATTATTTTTTATGGCTGAATAATATTTCACTGTATAGAAATATATATTTTGCTTATCCATTCATCAACTGATAAACATTTGAAGTATTGACACTTTTTTGGCTGTTATGAATAATGTTACTATGGCCAAGTTTTGGTGTAGACTTTTATCCCCCCCCACCCCAGTTCTTCTGGGTGAATACCTAGGAGTAGAATGGCTGGGGTATGTGGTAACTCTATGCTTAACAATTTAAACAACTGCCAGACCCTTTTCCAAAGTGACTGCACCAGTTTACATTTCCCCTAGCAATATCCGAAGGTTCCAATTTCTCTACATCCTTGCCAACATTTGCTATTGTTCACCCTTCTTATTATAGACATCCTAGTGGGTGTGAAACTGTATTTCACTGTAGATTTGATTTATATTTCCCTAATGACTAGTGATATTGAGTATCTTTTCATATGCTTATTGGCCATTTGTATGTCTTCTTTGGTTGACCAATTTTGGGGTTCTATACTGCTAGGGTTTTATGTACATAATTTGTATACGCTGTCTACAAGTCCAGTTTTGGGCAGAAATTTAAATAAAAGCTGTAACTTCCATTTTAAAATATGACTAAAAATTTGCTCTGCCATGGCTTTCAAAGGACATACAATTTAAAACTGGCATACAAAACTTCCCCAAATACCAAGGTTATATAAATAAACACATGTCCAAAAACTCAAGACGTCCTACCTTTTTGACCACCTGTAGCAAGCTCTCCCCTGACCACAGCAATTCAAACCTGGTATTCTGTGTCCCCCAGATCTTTTCATGATCATACCTTCTCTGAAAGAGATATCATATAAAACTGTCATCTTCAAACTTGGGACCAAATAACCTATCTCATTTTCACACAATTTTCCTCCCCACTCTTTCCTCCTGTACCATCAACTAGCCCAGTGCTGTGGTTGTGAGGCTAGGTACACTAGCAGTTAATCTTACAACACCTTGGTCAGGTGTAGCCCTTATGGCATCTGGGCAGCATGGTTCTACTGTGCATAGTGCGGGGCGGTAGGCATCCTGGCTCCTGACTGCCGGCTCTAAATGATGAGTGTTCCTCCAGTCACTGTGACAACCTAAAGAAGGCCCCGTGTAGGTCCACATCCCTGCACAGGGCGGTTCCATGGAGGGGCTCACCCAGACCCCAGGGCATCCCCGTATCCCTTCACCTACAGTTCAGCAGTAGAGTCATTCCCAAGGAAGGAGAGCAGAACTACTCACTTTGAAGGGAGGACTCCCTTGATTTTGAAAGATGTGATAAGAAAAAGCAACAACATGGCTACATTAAAAAACTGCTTTTGAAACAGCTACTAACAGTGCTCTTAAAGAAAACTAACTTCTTTCTATTATGAAGCTCTAATACTGTGAAGGAAAAAATTATTAAATTTCCATCTTGTTATACAGCATATATTTTACACAGTACTATTTTTAAATGAGCACTCACCAAAATGAGTGCTAAACAGCTAACTTTCATAAGTAATTAGAACAAGAGATCTTATAAATTTGACTTTTCATGCCTTCTGCCATGTATCATACTTGCTAGGGGTACTGAACACCTCCACCGTTGGGTTAGAAGAAATTTGGGCCGCAAGCACACCAGAATGATGGGGCAGCAGATGCTACCACTGTTTATGGCAGGAGAGGCTCTGCTTTGCATAGCAGACCTTGTCAGTTGTTCTTTCTGCTGGGGAGAAGAGAAGCCTGCAGAGAAGCTGGGAACTCCACCACTGTACTGAGCTGCTAAATCAAATGCCAGTGTTTGCCAGCTTCTCACACTCTTTAAAGGTGCATCGCAACTTACATGCCCTTTGGTCCCAAATCACGGATGAAAGATAGCTGGCTTATATCAAGGAATTCTGTCTGAAAAAAAGCAAGAAATTCAACTTTAGAAAGCAAAAAAATAATTAAATGTATGCACTAAAAAAACACATATTGGGCTACTATGTGTAAACACCGTCTGGTATATTCCTCAGACTACACAGGTCAATAATAATGACACTGCCCTGAAAGAGTGCAGATTAGAAGACGCATCCAAGACAACATGTGCCCTGAGACAGAGACAAAATACTTAAGAAGGTTGTAGGGGGACAGAGCTTATTCCCATATACTTCTGTGTTTGTTTTTGTGGCGAGGGGAGGGGTTGTGTGGCACAGAGTACACACAATAATAAACGACTACAAGAAGGGAATGTTATTGGTGCTGGCTCCAGGAGATGGACTGGACCAGGGCATGTGAAAATGGGACGAAAAGGATGAAGGAGGGGAATGGAAAATTAAACAGCAGTGAAGGTTGAAGAGAGACCAGGAAGGTGTTTGCACATTAGGCATAACTGAAATTGTCTTTTTTTTTTTAAGTTGGAGTCTCACTCTGTTGCCCAGGCTGAAGAGCAGTGGCATGCTCACGGCCATCGCAGCCTTCACTTGCTGGGCTCAGGCAATTCTTCCAGCTCAGCCTTCCAGGTGGCTGGAACTACAGATATGTGCTACCACATCAGGCTAATTTTTTTTTTTTGTAGAGACGAGGTCTTGCCAAGTTGCCTGGGCTGGTCTTGAACCCGTGGGCTCAGGCAAGCCACTCGCCTCATCCCCCCAAACTGCTGGCATGAGAGGCTGAGCCACTGAGCCTGGCCAGAAATTGTTATCTTTAATGAGCTGAAAACGAAGAGAAGTTTACATTTTAGGGGCACCTTCCCTGCATAAGTTACTAGAAGATTAAAAACTGTAAATACTATCATAAAAACAGCTGTGGCATATTCCTGAGTGTTTATTATGTGTTGGTGCTGTCCTAAGCACTTTGCGTGCTTGTCTTAAACCCTTTTGAAGCAGGGGCTACCCTCCCCCTAGTTCAGAAGAGGAGACTGGGGTTCAGAGTAGGGCTAGGCAAATTTTTTCTGCAAAAAGCCAGACAGTAAATATTTGGGGCTTTGTAGGTCACAACATCTCTGTTGCAACCACTCAACTCTGCCACTGTAGCATGAAAATAGCCACAGACACATACATAAGTGAATGAATGTGGGTTCCTATAAAACTTTATTTATGGATATAAAATATGAATATAATTTGCTTTTTGTGTGCCACAAAATATTCTTCTTCTTTTGATTTTTTTTAACCACTTAAAAATATAAAACTATTCTTAGCTCACAGAACATACGAAAACAGACCATAGGCTATATTTGGTCCATAGACCCTCATCTGCCCACCCCTGGTTCAGAGGAGTTCAATAAGTTGTCCAAGATCACACAATTAAGAAAGGATAGCCTCAGTATGAAGTCAGACCAAGTCAGTATCCTCAAAACCAAGCTGCAAAAGCCAGAAGCCTGCACATTCTAGCTAGGTGAGGGCTAGATGCAAATGTGAACACAAAGAGGGAAAACCAAATCAACAGTATGTCATGCTTGGCACACCAGGGGTTTACCACAAGCAATCCTTGAACAACTGGCATTAGACATTACAATGTTCCCAACTTACAGACATTTTGTTAAGGCGCCAACAGTAAGCTCAGATCTGCCAAGGGTCCTTAGACCATGAAGGCCTTGATAGGAAAACAACAAAAAAGATATTCTCCCTGCATCAGAAAGCAGACAGAGAGGGGACTGCACACAGAGAACTCCACCTCAACATGGCTCCCCGGGGTGAACCACACCAGTCACATGTGACAGTCACTAGAGAGCTGGAGGTAGTGGGAGGTGAGCATCTCCTGCTGATGGGCATCCCAGAGGAAGGGGCGTTCGGTTCAAGCTTGTAAGCGGGATGAGCAAAAAAAGAAAAGAAAGGAAAAAGAAAGGAGGAAGTTTTCTTTGAAGGTTTTATATGTAGTTGGGAATATTGGCTATATTGGAAAATTTAACTTTGTAAAAAAAACTACAAATATCTCCAAGTTGTCAGTACTTGCAAGGTTACATTAAATGTCTGCACTTCTTTCTCTTCTTAGGGTTATTTGCAGAAAGTAGGTCTTCAAATTCAAATGGACTAAAATATGTTTTAAAATCCTAAATCAAACATATCTTCACATAGAATTTTTTAAAATAAGAAACTTTAAAGTCAAGGCCTTTACATTTCACTTCTTATGCATAAACTATGGTGATTCTTTCAGTACCTTGCATTTTTTATCTGATTCATGAAAATGCTTCCTGGTTGGAAAATGTAGTAACCCACAGCATATTAGAAATGGTACTCAGATTGTCAGTCACAGAATTCTAAATGTTTTAAAACCCTAAATTATAACTTTTCATTTTATCTCTAAGTAGCAGACAGATAATGTCAATTTTAGTTTACATTTGAAGAAACTACTATAGAGATGTAACTAATTTATGCATAGAACAATTGAAAGAAAGAATAGAAAATGAAAACAAAAATCAAAGAAACCACTTATCTAATACCCACGTTTTCTTATTCACATAGCTCTTAAATAGTTGACAACAGAAACATTCTCTAAAATCATTCAGAAATCATAACTTTAGAATATAAATAAAAATTTGATAAATGTAAAGAATTTAATCTGAAGTTCCTTATTCCTCTTTCTTTTAATTCCCTGGAAGAGAAGTATTTTCCAGTTACTAGTGAAAATGTCAAGCTAGTAGGTTCTCTACAACAGCCAGCACTAGTGCAACTGCAGAACACAAAAGGAATTCTTGTTTGAGATTTTTTGTATATTATTGTACAACTCAGATACTGCTTTTTTTTTTACATATTTATGCTTAGAGAAAAGATAAAATACATTTGTCCATATTTTACAACTGAGCCAAGAAAACTGAATAAATCACCAATAATCTCTCAAGTAAATGTCTCATGCTGAATACACTAAGACACTAAGATACTCTGTTTTTCTGAACCACAAAGAGGAAAAAAGGAATTAAAAAACAAAGGAAGTCTTCATAATCCTGGAAGGAAAGGTAGTTATATAAGTACAAACCCAACCAATGACTATATAAAACTGAGGGAAAGAACTGCTCGTGTCATATTTCAAAAGTCACTTAAGAAAATTAAATAGTGTTTTGAAGCCTAAGCCCATTTTCTGTTGGGAACATTCCATTACTCAAATACCTCAATAATACATCTCTTCCCTCTTTTTTTAGTGGCACAACTTTACCGAGACATTTCTAAGCTGACAATAACATTTTAGTGTGGTTCTCAAAGTCTCCTAATGATAAGAATTATCTGAGCTATATGTTAAAAGTACAGATTTCAAATACAGATCCGGATGGTCCTACAGAGATAAAGGACATATCCTATCCAGTCCCTTGACTTATAACCCATGATTTATGCCTAAATTAACTTAAAGTAGGCTTGTTTTATATTTATAAAAGTAGAAATGTATTATATGTATATATGTAAAAATAATTTTTAATAAGATTTTTGCAGATGGGATTTTTAGTATTTTTCACAATTATTGAAGAAAACACATGGTTGTCAATCTAATTTCACAAACGTGAAGTGAAGGCCTGTAAATCTAGTCTTTAGACCAGATTACATTTCATATGAAAGGAAAGTAATGTTAGACAATTAACGTGTATCAAATTGTATCCTCTGCTTGAGTCATGTTGGAGAGTTCAGCTGCTGCAGAGAATAATCTCAGTATCCATCAAAAACGAGGACAATAATCTATTCAGTCAGTTGTTATGAGGTTTTCCCTTCCAGGGGAAATGTTTATAAGGCATCTGGAATTTCTAAATAGAATATGGTTTAACTCTGAAAAGATTTTTATGACAGGAAAAGCAATTAAAATGAACATCTTAACAATGTAAACATTATTTATCCGTTAGAACTCAAAATGCAATAAGGTACATGAAAAGAGAAAGGTGAACTTACCAAGTACTGCTCTAAAGCCAAAAGACATAGTAAAAGTAAAGTCACAGGCAGGCAGAAAAGTAAAAGAAATGGAAAAATTATTGCATATGGGTGTGAGGACACATTTACATAATTCTCTATTAAAGAAAACAGCAAGTCTGATTTCAGAGAACACAACGGGAAGCAGCAGTTCTAATAACACAAGCAGTAGTATCCTTATTCATGTTATTTCAAGGATACAGTTTCCAGAAGGGGTAAAACCCCTCCCATCACCCTTCTCTTAAAATCTTCTGGCTAAAACTAAATGCCTACTTCCCTGAGAAAACCCTTCTGCAGGATTATGAAGCTGTAAGAAGCTCATTTAAGTTCCCTGAACATTCCAGTGCAAGCTGCTGCAGAGAGTGGGAGTGGCTTGAACCCAGGTCAGCTGTGTCTGGAGGGGACCAGTCGTGTGCCTATTTGGACCGGGTTCCAAATAGCTCTGCGAGGCAGCAGGAGGGCAGTTCCCACCCAGGCGTCCTTGCGCCCCCTCCAAAATACACTGAGGTCTTCCCTGTCTCTGTGTATGTGCTTATGTGATGCCATTCTCCGAACTAGAGGCCACATCCCAACGGCACCAACTCTTGGGGCCTGCGCATACATCGCAGGCATACACACAGCCCCACGGCAATACAGTTTACACAGACTCAGACAGAAATATCATCACCTAGTGCATTCTCAGTTAGCCAGGCCTCTGGTTAACTGAAGGCTAGCCGTTTAAAAACACCCCACCTTCAAGGGTCTCTCAGGGCACAATTCATGGTTTGCTGGCACTGTAAATCCTGTGCTCTCTTGCTTGCCAGCTGCGTGTCTCCCAAGCTTAATCTCTGTGACGGCTTCTAAGCCCCAATGCCTCTTCTTTTTTCAGATTTCTCAGGTTTTTCCTATCCCTAGTTTTTCCCATGCTTCTCACTTTATATGAAAAGACAGGTCCTTTTTTTTTTTTTTTTTTTTTTTGAGTTGGAGTCTCACTCTGTCACCCAGACTGGCATGTAGTGGCCGCTCCCGGCCACCGCAGCCTTGACCTGCTGGGCTCCCGTGATCCTTGTGCCTCAGCCTTCCAAGTAGCCAGACCTATAGGCACGTACTACCACACCTGGCTATTTTTTATTTATTGTAGAGACGAGGTCTCGCCAATTTGCTGGGTGGGTCTTGAACCTGCGGGCTCAGGCAATCCACTCGCCTCAGCCTCCCAAAGTGCTGGGATTACAGGCCAAGCCACCGAGCCCAGCAAAGACAGGTCTTTTTCAGCATCACAGGCCAATCAGATGGAAGTCGTCCTTTTCACCACACAATCTTCAGGCATTCATCTCTGCTCATCTGTTTTCAACACTTATTACTCAATATTCTTTGGTGCTAGAAATGCTTTTTGGCATTACTCTGGAAGCCCAAGGAGAGATGAGAGCTGATTTCTAGACAATCTAGCCTACAGCAGCATTTCAAGTTCATGTAAATACACTGTTATAAACATACGAAGCTCTATTCAATATTTTCAAAATATCATCTCACCATAAACTGGATCCCTGCCGCCATATCAATTTTGTATTCATTTATCTTAATTCAAGGAATAATACAGATGTGGATACATGTATTTGGTTAGTAAAATGATCCAAAATGTAGCTGTCAATTACTACACTATAAATCACTTCAAACTAAAGTCACTGACTGGTACTTACTGTGGCATGATAGTTTCTATACATGGGCATTTTCAGTATTTTTGTCAAGTAATCTTCCAGTTGTTTCTGTAGTGCAAATATTTTAGATAAGAGTCAGCATGGTCACATTTATAGAAAAACGTAAGCAGTAGTGACAATGATGATATCATTTCATCTTAACTTCTATAAAACTGTTCACTTACATTGACATAATCACTGGGCAAGGAATATCAAACATCATTTAGGTATTATTTCCATAGTTCTCTGGAACTCGTATTTAAAACACTTCTTGATATTTAAATTTCCACATGCTTAGGTCTTCTATAAACTGCTGACAGGCCCCAAGCTATAGAGTCATTTAGCCCTCCATGGGGATTGTCCATAGTAGGTGGTTTTAAAGTATTTGTTGATCTTATCAAAACCTTGTATTTTTCAAATCTAACACTGAATTTATTGGAAAACATACATTGTATCTGTTAAAGAGTTTTTCAGGAAAAATAGGGAAGGGGTTAAAAGACTTCCTAGTAGGATATACTAGATTTTAAATATGTTAAAATGTGTGTGAGTGGACGGGAGGGAAGGAGGGTGGACTTGTGAGAGTGGAGCAACATATGTCAATCATATTGGCCAGGATACAAAATGCAGCACCTTTTTGCTGAATCACTAAATGCTGAAGACATAATCATGCTCAGCTGAACTCACATATGTGCACACAGTAAACCAAACTGCATAATTTTCTATGTGTGGTTATCTTGAAAAATATTTGGGGCAGACCCCTACAAAGATTTTAAACAAGATGACAACTAAAAGAAGAAATCTAACATCCTCTCTGAAACATAAAAGTTTCAGATTATAAAACAGAACTGACAGAAATTAATATATTACTTGCCAATTTTCTAGTTAAAACAATCACTTGTCCCCCCTGTACAGCACCAATCATGGAATAGAGTTGGCAGAAATCTCTCCTGAGTTTTCTGTCCTAGTGCTGTGTGTGCTATATTCCGACCTACTCTCCTCAGACCCTAACTGCCCCATTTGTAGCTCAGGATGAGGTTTTACATATATTTAAGATGAGCTACTACAAACACTGAAGCAAGCGTGTGGAAATCTCAAAATCCCCAATGATGAGTTCAGTCTTGACTCATACCAGGCCCAGGGCAGTTCCAGCAGGAAACACAGCTTCTTCATAATGTAAGTCCTAACCAAGAACTCTCTCCCTTTTCTGGGAAAATGGCTGTCCGTTGCTTGGGGAAGAAAGAAATGTCTAACTTGTGCCAGAAATGGTACATGAGCCCAGGCAGTCAGTCAGTAGGTGAGAAAAGTCACAGCCAGACCTACTTGCCTGCTCAGTAAAGGCCAAACTTCTACAGCTATGCAAGATTGTGTCCAAGACGACAGAACAGTTGGAGAACTTACCCTTCTACCAAAGAGCTGTTCCTCTCGAATCCTGTTTTCAGATGAGCGGGGCAAACTCGGCATCTCCCGAGGTTCCTCCCCCCTGACGTTCTGTCTTCTAAATGTGTGTCTAAAACGCATACGCAGAGAATGCAAACATGTATTAGATTATTCTTTGGCTATAACTCGCATAACATCTTTCATAAGATGGGTTCTTATTTTGTTTTTTTTTTTTGAGTTGGAGTCTCACTCCGTCGCCCAGACTGGAGTGCCGTGGCCGCTCCCGGCCACCGCAGCCTCGACCTGCTGGGCTCCGGCCATCCTTCCGCCTCAGCCTTCCGAGTAGCCGGAATTACAGGCATGCGCTACCACGCCCGGCTGATTTTTTGATTTATTGTAGAGATGAGGTCTCACCTGCCTAGGCGGGTCTCGAACCCGCGGGCTCAGGCCATCCACTCACCTCAGCCTCCCAAAGGCGCGGGATTACAGGCTGAGCCACCGAGCCCAGCTAGGATGGGTTATTTTTAAAAGACCAATTAAACTGAAGATCTCTGCCAACAATGGACAAGTTAGCTACAAGCAAATGAAATACACTTTCCATCCAACGTGTATACTGGGACCACTTTATAATTAATTCTGAAATGGTTACCTTCTGGTGGGAATGGGGATTCGGACGAAGGCTTTGTACTTGAGCAGCTCTCTGTGAAATTCTTGAAAGTGCTTGAATTTCCTTTTCACTTGCCATTTAAACTCCCCATGTGTTAATTCAATAGTGTAAAGATTGATACTTGGTACCTACAGTGATAAATAAAAATGGTTGGTATTTTAGATAACAACAAAATTCCAAAAGCTCTCACAGAATAATAGTTAATTAATAAGTAACATGGAAGTATACTTAAGTCCAGCTTATTGATTTTATGTAAGTACTTAAGCAAATGTTTTTCAAAAACAACTGACTACAGAAATAACATTCTCTTAAATGGTCACCTGACAAATTACATTAGACAAACTGGAAATCACACCAAATACACCTATAAATCCTGTCCCTCCAAAACACACACACACACACACACACACACACCTGAAACCAGGTAAAGCAGATAACAAGTGAAGGCCCTAATTACCTAATAGTATTCAGGAGTCTAGTCCACAAATATAAGCAGTGAACAGGGAACTGGCAGGGGCGAGAGGGAAGCAGGAGGTAGTGAATGCCAGGAGTGCCATCTTGGCCCTTTCTGTCCTTCACAAATGGCATGCCCTCTCCCCTTCTCCTCCTGAAATACATTCCAAAGTCTAGCCTCGCCTCTACCACCCCCTGCCCTGAGGCATCATCGGTGTTCAGAAAGGGTGGGTGGAGAAAGTTGCTGCAGTTATAAATATACAGTGTCTACCTGTATAATGTAATACTATATTATTATTATTAAATCCTCATAACAAACCTATAAAGTAAGCAGTATCATATTCATTATTCGGAAACCAAGAGGTTATGACACTTGCTCAAGATCACAAAGCAAAGACAGGAATTAAACCATGCGGGCTGGCTCTAGAGTCTGTACACATAGCCCCCACAGGCTACTGTCCCTCAGTCTAAAAGCCGGCAGGCAAAATAAGAAAACAAATGTTACCTTAGAGACATTTCTAGGTGGGTTGTACTCAGTAGTGTCTCGGGGAGACACGGACCCAACTCACAGGAAAAGTTTAAAGCAAAGCTGTGAACTGGGAGTCAGGCCATGTCCGTGTAGGTTGAAACAGAGCACTGGGCAAAACCAACAGGAAACCAAGGTGCACAGCTTGTGCCAGAAGCTAAATTAGGACAGCCAAGGAGGAAGAGAAGGCAAAGCCTTCCCCTGACAGAAGGTTATCATTCTATGTTTCCCCTGAGTCAGGAGCCAATAGTGGCTTTACTCTGCATGACTAGAGCTTAGCCTGAAGGGACAAAGGCCACCACCTTCCCCCTCTGCAGACTTAACAACTGTGAAATCCAGGCAGGAACAGATCAAATGTGGCTACTCCAACAACTTTTCCTAGTCCAGCCCCCTTCCAAGGGCTTTTTTTTTGGAAACCATTTTCCTTTAAAGCCTCTTCCGTGTTCAAAAAAGCACGTGAATAAGAATTCAAGAATGGGGTTATAGGAACACATCACAGAGGTGGATTACGCCAACAGAAGTCTCTCAACAGTACTCTGGGTGATGGCCATGGTCAGGCAGCATCCTGGCTTTTTTCTTGTAAAAGCCAGAGAGCATCAACATTTTCTTGCTAACCAAGCATTAGGAAAGCAAAACCTCTCCTTGACTTACACTGCCATTCTAGGTGGAACAAATATGTCTCAAGAGTCCAAATGAAACAGAAAGCTGGGGAGAGAAGAAGACTACAAGAGACACTTTACAATTTATTAAACTGATGACTGCTTTAAATGCCTTTTTAAAAAGAGAGCATTGGTCGGGCGTGGTGGCTCAAGCCTGTTAATCCCAGCACTTTGGGAGGCCAAGGCATGAGGATTGCCTGAGTCCAGAGGTTTGAGACTAGTCTAGGCAACTTGGCTACAAAAATGTTTAAAAAACTAGCCAGGCATGGTGGTGTGTGCCTGTAGTTCCAGCTACTTGGAAGGCTACGGCAGAAAGATCACCTGAGTCCAGCAGGACAAGGCTGCAGTGGCCATGAGTATGCCACTGCACTCCAGCCTGGGTGACAGAGTGAGTCTCCGACTCAAAAAAAAAAAAAAGAGAGAGAGAGCATGGCCCAGAATGGAAAAAAAGGAGTATGCAAATAAAGATTAAACAGGAAGGAAGCAAAAACCTGAAAAGTGATAAGGACTTGGAAGTGATAAATAAACAATAAATCAAACAAAACCTAAAAACATAGTCATAGCTAGGAGAAAGGAAAATGAAAGGCAATGCTTGCATTCATATATGTTTTGACAAAAGGTGAGTCCATAAACGCTCTGACCTTTGTTGTAGATGTGAAGCGTTCCACATCCAGAACTTGTGCTTTTATTGGACAGCCGCAGAGATACGTCTGTATATTAGGCTCCTTAAATCCTTGAGTGTTATAAATAGCAGAGAAAGGAATATACACTAAAAAAATAAGTAAATAAAGTTATTGCAATATGTGATACTAGCATAACCTGCCATTTACAGACATTCTTTTAAGGATTATAACATGCTAAAACAAGTAAACCCCTTACAAAACCCAGTGTTTTGATCTATCTACAAGGAAAAGCAGCCATTTGTTGATTTTCTCAAATCAGCCAGCCCCCTCAGATCGTGAGTTTTTACCTTCCTGTGTCTTGGGGTCTCCAGGAGACATGTCATATTCCACCTCTTCACCCTCAAAGTGGAGCTCCTGCGTGTCCAGGTTTTCTATGAGATTACTCATGTCAGAAGCAACCTTCTGCAGAGCAGACGTGTTCACCCTTGGCTCGTTCTTCAGTGACATGTTAGCTTTGGGCAGAGTAAAAGCAGAAGGGCTAGGGAAGAAAAAGTGGGTTCCAAAGACTTATTACCTTGGTCAAATAAAACCCTATTATACAACCTAAATCCAGGCTTACATGCAGCATATGGAAGCAAGTCAACTAGCTCTGTGCACACCTTGGTTAACCCAAACGTTCTTTGATTCGATGTTCCCCTTTTGCCATTTAAAGGAGTCTAGGCTTGTAAATTTAAATGAAGCACTCGATTGCAAACAAGAAAGAAAAGAAACACCACATTGAGTAAATGCCAATATTTCTCTCATCCAACTTTATTAACTTGGATAAATGAGGAAAGATTTAAGGGAGACTGGTTTGGGAAAGCTTATTCAGAGAGACAAATTGATTCTTAGCTGTAATAAATACAGTTAAAGAAAAAATATCATGTAAAATAAGCCACTCTAAGTATTTCCTAAAGAAAATTTAGGTATTTCACATATCTAAATATGCAGATTTAGAAAAGGTTTTAGGATAGCATAACTTTCTACATTTTCTCTGTGGATGATATCCCAAGCAAAGCATATATTACCTCTTTGAGAGATGAGATTTTGGACATGACTTTATAGGAGACATAATGACGTACGTGTCTTGAAAGGAAATTCATTAATATACCTGTTCGGAAAGATATCTGAGGTGCTAGAATTGTACTTCTCTCCTTTTTTAAAGAAAACTGGTTGTATTTCACTCTGACATTTAATAACACAAGTCGCTGCACATCAGTACACAGGGCAGAAGAGTTTGTACAGATTCTGTTTCTCATGCAAAACACTGAGATTTAGGCCTTGCTGACTGTCATCAGAAAAATCTGCATTGCTTCATATAGAAACAACCTCTCTCTATTATAGCCAGCCTCTAAAGCTGAAGGGCTCTCCTCCCAGTAACTCTTTAATACAGGCTCATTCATTGCTGCAAACACAACCACTTGCTGAGCATTCCCATGTGGGACACGAAATGAAGGGAAATGTGGAGATGAACAGATGGGACCCTGTGTTAAGGAACAACCGATGCGGGTGAGGAAAGTAACCTTGACAACCTCGGGTTTGTCTCTGGCCTGCTCCAAAATCTCGGGCTTCCTGAGAATGGACTGTGCTAAGGGGAAAACCCTGAGTTGGGTTCTGTCCCGCAGGTGCTACCAAAAAGCAAGGTGGCTATGTGAAAAATGCTAAGTGGCTTTCTTTCGGGAAACCTTCCTTTTGGGAAAAGTATTAATGTTAAAAAGGCATGTTAATTTTAAGATATGGAGAGACTAGAATAATCTACACATTGTAACATAATTGGAACAAATAGTACAGAGCCACCGGGTCAAGCTAAAATAAAAATCTTACTTCAGATAGAGAGAAAAGAAGCATATTAACTTGTGAAAAACTTAAGGAAGACTGAGAAAAGAAACAAAAAAAGCAGGATAGCTATGTGAAAAATGCTAAGATAGAGTCTCAGGCAAACCTGGGCAGCCCTTACTAAGCTCAACAAGTCTCTCAAATCCATACTGTTATGTCTGGTAGAAAAATAATGCTTTGTTTGGAAGGTCAAAGATGAAGTGAAGGAGGGCAGTTTTGGTTTGACTGGATATATTTGTGAGATCTCGAAGTTCCCCGTGAACTGCGTCATCAATCTATGTTGGCTGTAAGGAAGCTTACTGATTTCTTAGTATGCATCTGGCTAGTGATAATACTTTATATATTATCTCACTTGTCATTAGTAATAAATCTATGAACTTGACAAGAGGTTGCCATCCCCTCTTTATAGGTAAGGAAACTGAGGCACAGAAAGATTAAGTTACTTGACCAGTACTTTGGACAATCTGTCCAAGTCTATACAGCTAGTAAGTGGCGACACAGGAATTTGAATTGAGGTTTCTCTGACCCAAAGGCTGAAGCACTCAACCACAGTCTTTATCTTGCTGTCTGCTTGTTGTAGATACGTAAGTGCCCTGAAATAGATGGAAGTGTCCATATAAACGAGTACCATGGGGCAAGTCCCTTTAAGAGCTGGCTCTAAAAAGAGTCACCCCAGGATGAAATCATTTAAATCCTTAGGGTCTTGGTTTCCTCATGTATAAATTAAGGAGGTTGAGCCATTTCATCTCCAGGGTCCTTTAACACTAAAATTTTAACTGTGGATAAAAGATGCCATAAAACTGTTCTGTCTCCTCTTATAATTTAATTACTTTAACCCTTCTACTACCCCAAGAAATTAATCCAAGTAGTTTTGCACTTGAATAAAAGAAACAGGTAGCAGAATGTTTTCTAACCTGGATACTTTCATTAAGGTCTATTCAGCTTCCACTGAGGAGCCTTTGTCTCTAGTCACAATTAAAATATTTCTTTTCCTCTTAATTCAACAAATGCTAATAGATGCCAACCAAGAGTCAGATCTTGCTTTATTTAAAATACAAGAGCCAGGCGCGGTGGCTCAAGTCTTTAATCCCAGCACTTTGGGAGGCGGAGGAGAGAGGATTGTCTGAATTCAGGGGTTCGAGACCAGCCTGAGTAACATGGCAAGACCTCATCTCAACAATAAATCAAATAATTAGCCAAAGCACGGTGGCACATGCCTGTGATTCCAGCTACTTGGAACACTGAGGCAGAAGGATCACCTGAGCCCAGCAGGTCAAGGCTGTGGTGGCCATGAGTGTGCCACTGCACTCCAGCCTGGGCAACAGAGCGAGACTTCAACTCAATAAATAAATAAATAAATAAATAAATACCCTGGGCAACAGAGCAAGACTTCAACTCAATAAATAAATAAATAAATAAATAAATAAATACAAGGTAAAGAAAAATTTAGAGGAAATGAGACAAGGAAAAAGACAAGAAATTACATCATATCTTTGCTGCTTGTTAATTTTTAAAGACTTTTGGTATTTTCTATTGGAATTAAACAGAATAACCTTGCCAACTTTCTTAGCACAGTGAAGAAAAACAAAGTTTCCTCCACATGACCTTCCTTTTGGGAAAAGTGTTAACGTTAAAAAGCCATGTTAATTTTAAGACATAGGAAGACTAGAATAATCTACACATTGTAACATAATTGAAACAAATAGTACAGAGCCACTGGGTCAAGCTAAAACAAAAATCGCACTTCAGATAGAGAGAAATGAGTATATTAACTTGTGAAAAACTTAAGGAAGACTGAGAAAAGAAACAAAGAAAGCCACTTATCATTTATCATCAAGTGTTTATTATGTGATAAGCACAGTTAATGTTACTTAGTACTCACAATGTCACTACCTGGTAGGTATAATTCTTCTGCTTTAATTAACTTGTCCAAGGTCACTCAACTTATGTCAATGGTGCATTTGTCTGGCCTTAAAATCTTATGGACTTGGTTATACAGGTCTATAACTATTGATTTTATTTTATGGGTTTGAATGTCTATAAAGTCCAATTACTCTTTCATATGAAGTTTAAGTTCTGTGACAACAAGAGATGCCCTCTACTTTAATCACCATACCTTGGCAGGGATCACAGTAATCCCACAGTCATTGCAATTATGAAACAAAATATCCCAACAGTGTCCTAATTTCATCTTAGTCTTTGACTTTAATTATTTATTATATTTTATAAGACCACATAAAACCTCAGTGGACCCAAAGGTTTTGCAGATTTGTTCATGTTTTTGTGAAGACTTTACTTTTTTAATAATGGAAAATGAATCAAGTGATTTGTCCATCTCTACCTTCTCTTGTGCCCATGGCTGTTTTGTGTTGATGCTTCACCCAATAATTGCATTGCTGATTTCATTCTTGATTATTAAGATGTAAAGCCATCTAGGCTCCTGTGTTGTCAAGTCTGCATTTAGTAGTCAATGTTTTCTTTCATCTAAAATAATCTATAATGGGGAGTGAGCAGCTGCCACAGATACAGCCCATCTTAACCAGCAATGGGATAAGGGCTTCAGTGTTTACACTTGAGATAATGCAATTGATTTTGTTACCTCCTTATAAAATTATACTGCAAGATCATTATCTCTTTCGGTACCAAGAAGAGATGGTGCTATGGAGAGATAAGAGCAGCTGTGTTTGATTTCTGTTTGCATCTGTGTCTCTTAAGCAAATAAGGTTTTTTTTCCGGTTTTGAATTCTAAAATTAAAATCTTTTCAGGGAAGATTTAATGACCTCCAGTTATTCAGTGATTAAATCAGAGAATTTTCTTCTGGTCTCAATTTTCAACAAGATTGGGAAGTAGAACCTCAAAGAGAAACAGATGTCTTCCTTTTCAGATAACAAATGTATAAACATTTCCTTAGCCAAAATACAATAATAATATTGTCAACTGTAATTATGGATATTAAAGTAAATATTAACATTAATTAATATTTGCTAAATATGTACTATGTGCCAGGCACTGTACAGAGAGATTAGTTTCATGATCTCATTTAATCTTCACATAACCTCAGGAGCTGGGTCACACTGTTATCAGCATTTTTAAGACGAGTCACTCTGAGAAGGCAGGAAACTTGCCCAGGTCCCTTGGCAGGGAAACGATAGGACTAGGGGTCAACTGGGCTAATCTCACTTCAAAGTTCAGCATCTCACAAAACCAGAGGTGGGCTGGGGAGGGAGGAGGAGGGACACTGGTGAATACTTTTTGCTTTATATTATCTTGAAGTAGAACACATTTAAAAAGAACAACAACAAGCTGGGCTCGGTGGCTCAGCCTGTAATCCTGTGCCTTGGGAGGCTGAGGTGAGTGGATTGCCTGAGTCCGCAGGTTCGAGACCCTCCTGGGCAACTTGGCGAGACCTCATCTCTACAATGAATAAAAAAAATTAGCCGGGTGTGGTAGCGCGAGCCTGTAGTTCCAGCTACTTGGAAGACTGAGGCAGAAGGATCGCTGGAGCCCAGCAGGTCGAGGCTGTGGTGGCCGGGAGTGGCCACTGCACTCCAGTCTGGGCAACAGAGTGAGACTCCAACTCAAAAAAATAAAAATAAAAAGAACAACAACAAAAACCAACATGAATTCTGTGAAGATAACTGTGATTTACTTCTTCTTTTCCA